GTGATGGACTGCACATTTTAGGTGAAATGCTTCAGCCACTGAAACAGAAGAGTTCACTGACCTCACCTGTACCCTAGCCCAACACAGGTTCTTAAGTTTCTTTGGGCTCTTCTTAGTCTATTACTGTTCTCAACTTCACCACATCATTTCTCAACTAAATCCCAATGTCCCTTTAGAATTCACTACTACTTTTATATCATAGTAAAAAGAACCCATATAACCTCAGAGTGGAGTTTCCAATTTTTGCTTTCCTATTGCTATAACACCTTTTTTTCATACAACCTAACAGCACCCCCCAAAATACTAAAAAATACATACTAGTCACCTGAATACCAAGTAAGGTAATGAAGCATAAGATTTTAAAAATCTATTAATAGAAAACTATTTGTCTACCTCAGGGGTGGGGAACCTGCAACCTCAAGGCCACCCGTGGCCCTCTAAGTCCTCAAGTGCAGCCCTTTGACTGAATCCAGACTTCACAGAACAAAGCCCCTTAACAAAAGGATTTATTCTATAAAACTTGGACTCAGCCAAAAGGCCACACCCAAGGACCTAGAAGGCCACATGTTGCCCTGAGACAACAGGTTCCCTACCTCTGGTCTACCTAATACAAGAACAAGCTAAGTCTGAATCTTAGGAATAAGAGAAGTGAACAAAGTAGTTAAGTAGAGAAGAGAAATAGTAGGCAATGATTCAAAAGGGTAAAAAAAAAAAAAAAAGAAAGAAAGAAAACTTTTAGATAGTGGTCTCCAAAATTCTTTGATTACACAACTCTCTAAGAAAATAAAATGATTAAACACATGTATATGAGTATATATTTTATGTATATGCATCCTGCACTAATATACTATGTATATTATAAGACATACATAAATAGAAAATTTTAAAGGATAAGATTAAAGTAAATGAACAATTTGAAATATATTAATGATGTGAAAAATCTTTTTAATCTCACAAGTATTATTAGTAACATTTTAGTGAGAATAATTTTAATACACTTCATTATTTTTGAAAAAGCCTTGTATTATGTCGTAAGGAATAGCGCAGAAATAAATAGCTTGTCAGTAATTACTCAGTTAATATATTCAATATGACTAGCCAAGCAGGTGAATTTTTTTAACAATACTTTTTTATTGAAAGATATAAAATTTAAGTCAGTGAATAAAACAGCTTTTCCACAGGAGTCATATTTCCCTGTACACATATTCATTATGTATACATGTATAATTATGTAAAATCAACATGCATAAGAGAACTGTCACTGGTTTTTGTCTTTGAAGAAAGTTTAACATAAATCCATTGCTTTCTTTATAGGATTATGCTTAATGGGTGGTTATCATATGATACCTTCCTATTAATTATTTTAATTGTATTTTTTAATGAATTTGAGGAATAGTAGTAAAAAGATGAGTTTGGTTGAACCACAGGGTATAAGGAGAGTAACATAAGGCTGGAAAGGAAGGCTAATAGATTTTACAAGTCAATATTGAACCTGGGTGCCCAGAAATATGGTGGTAACCTCATCTGAAATAGGGATGACTAGAAAAAAGGATATGGGAGAAAAAAAAATCAATAAACTGATATCTGCAATACAGGTTGCAACCTATCCATTTCTATTTCTATACTGAATGACTCACATATTCCCATCCAAACTGAAAATGAAAGGTGGTGGTGGTTATTATTCAGTGGTCACACCACCCTCTCATGGGTGCCTCCTGCAACCAAAGATGATGAGGGGTAAAGGGGGATAGAAGTGGGTATGCTGGAGGAAAAGAGATTTTCCCAATGAAGTCTACCTGTCATGTATGGGCATGGAAGGCTGAGAACTTGTATAGCACAAGAAAGGGCCATGTGAGGGAGAGTAGGAAGGGAAGAGCTAAAGACTAAGCAGGCATATGCTGAACACAAGCTCTATGATCCAAGGGGAAGGTGGGATCCAGCCAAAATTCCCACCCTGGACATCATTTGATCATACAACTTCAGTTCCATGCAATAAATTCCACAATGGATAAGACCTTTGGACTAAGGGATAATTTAATTTAGATCAGTCTCATTAAGGAAATAAAGAGCTAATTAATAAATAAGAGTGTTAATATACTTCTAACATATTACAAAAGGCAATAATGGTATTTTGACAGACAGTTTAAAAATATATCTGCAAGACTGGATTAAAAGCCAAACCAAAATAACAGAAAAATATTTTACACACACACACACACACACACACACACACACACTCTCTCTCTCTCTCTCTCTCTCTCTTAAATCCACAGATGTCTTTAGAGAATGTTTCTGGAAATCATCAAGCCTGAAAAAATTCTAATGAGAAGTCAAGTTAATATGCTTTGCTCTCTTAACTTCTAGACCTGATTCTAGACTGATGATAGTTAACACTTACATAACACTTTAAGGTTTACAAAGCACTTGATATCTATGAACATCTATATATATCTACATGTAAACATTGAACCAATTTGTTCCCATTTTGTGGTTTCAAAATAATTCCCCTAATTATCTAATAACAAAGCTACATTATATTTTAACAAAAAGATTCACCTCTCTGGAATATGCACATAAAATTATTTTCATTATAGTTCATTGCAGAATTCTACAAAAATTATAACTGACTTTGATAGTTACACAATCCACAATTAGTTTGATACTCAAAACAAGTAAACTACAACCAAATGGGGAAAGGAGGGAGAAGATAACATGTCAGTTTGCAGGCTGTTCAAGTTTAATATGTACTCAAATTCAATCACTGCTTATCAAAGAAAACTACATATATATATGCATATATATGTATATGTATATTATATATATTTGAATTTGCAAGTAAAAGAAAATTTGCAAGTAAAATAAAAAGATTTTATCAAACTGACTTGCTGCTGGTATCTATAATAAACATACCTGTACCCATCAAAAGTGTTGTCCCTTTCTGTGCATAGTTACTCAAGTGGTTAGAAAAGCTAAGTGCACTTGTAAGCATATTACAAATGTTCTAAGTTTCACAGGAATATTTATTCAAAAGAAAATTAAAATATAGTTCTCTTAAGAAATGAAAATGAGAAAAGCAGGTATCCCATGAAGATGATTTGAGTGAGTTGGGTGTGGTATATCAATCTCCAGACCTAAGAGACAGACAGAGGACTGTGTTGAAATACCTGCTCTTCCACCTACTATCCTGTATTACCTTGGAGAGTCACCTAAACTCTCTGATCCTTCATTTTCTCAATGAAAAGGCTGGATTGGACCTGATAACTTCTGAGATCCCTGATAACTCTAAATCCATGATCTTATGAAAAATGCTTATTGCATTAGCTTAATTTAACTGGGAAGGGTGTGGGGTGTTAAGTTAGCCATAATGATCTCTGGAGTATTTAGAGCCAGCCCATGTTCTTTTGAAAAGGGAAGAGCCTTATCACTTTCCTTCATATTTCTGTGTTACACGGATCATTCCCAAAACCTAAAATACAATCTTGTGATTTGAATAGCACAGTACTGTTGAGAAGTTTCAAAGCTTACAACATTACCAATAAAGAGAATTTAAAAGTCTAGTTGACAAAGTGGTAATTAAAGTGTTTTACCCACAAAACTGTAAAAGGCTCAATACTAAATTAGGCTTCTGATGAAGGCTGGAAGAAAAGGTGGTAAAACACACCACTGAACAGCTGTTAGACACAACATTTTATTCAGGGTATTTTATGTTCATTACTTTGGATGCGCAATCAATAATGAAAGTTAATGATTTAAAGTTTTGGGTTTTGTTTTGTTTTTTTTTCTGCTAAAATCTTTGTGCTAAATAAATGAACAACAAGCTAACATCTGAGTCATCACAAGAAAAAAAGATGGTGAAACAATAGGAAACTTCTAAGTTATCAGAAAATCCTTTCTCTACCAAAATATTTTAATTGGTTTCAGCAACTTCACTGTAATACCAACAAAAAAATCCCACTTTCTTTTCAGAAAGTAAATTACCTTGATCAATAGTCAACTAATAAAGCAGACACCCAATACACAGTGTTAAGAGATCAAAACTAATTAGATTAAAAGCCTATTAGACAGCAGCCAACTTTTAAAACACAAGGTCTGCATTTATCTGAAGTAACTCAATTTCTGCTCCAGGCAAACAATTCAACATTATGTTTTTCAGCAATTCAAAGACTAATTTCTATTACCAGTGACATTCATTTTAGTACTCCATTTATTTTAACAACTATCAAGCTTACTTTCAATATTAACTTCTATATAAACTCTAATATATCCAAACTATGACCTGGAATGATCTTCACAGCCTAAGTTATGAAAACAAATTCTCCCCAAAAGTAAGGCTGACTTATCTTCAGTTGTCTTTTGTTATACAATATATTTTGTTAGAAGAAAGAAACAATTGGTGCACATACTAAGCAATGTCATCTCTTCTTTTTCATTACAACACTAATGTAAGATCTAGAACTAAAAATTAATGAGATTGAGATTTTGATTCTGTGAAATAGTATAGCATACACTAGACATTAATTCATTCAATTTTTAAAAGGTATGTGGGCTTTATTTTTCCTTTGCATAATAGGAACAAAAGGGGATCAGTGGTGACCTGAATAACTTAATCTTGATAACATTAGCAATAACAATGTCACACTGGTGTGTCTTTTGGGTAAAATATTGGTTTTGCACCAATAAGATCTTCCAAAAATTGCTGTCCCCCTGCCCTTCTATCCCCCATACCATCCATTCAATTATTCAAAGTATTTTAATTTAAGATAAAATTTTTTGCTCTCAGAAAGATTTGGTGCACAAATAGAATTCAATGACGATGGGCACTAATTTATTTTAATATGCCTATTAACATACTTTATAATTATCCATTCAGTAGAGCTTTTCAAAGAAGACAGGCTTAGATGGAACAGGGGGTCCCAAGTGAAATTTTTTTTTATTCTGTATATTCTAGCAAGCATTTATAATATTATTTTTAAAATATACAATTATAAGCTTCCTCTTACCTGACTGCACAGTCAAATCCATTTTTTGTGGCTGATACATCAATGGACCATCTTCATCTAATGGAAGAACACATTTCTGAACAAATCTTTTTCTTGCAGTTTGATTATGGATCTTTTGAGGAGAAATATCAGGATTCCTTTCTTCTCCCAATCTTTTATTTTTCAGAAGTTCTATCAGAGTTAGAGACTGATTTTTTTTTCCACTGGACAGTTCTGCTTTTGTTTCATCAGATTCACTTAGGAAACTCAGCCCTTCTTCCCCTGATGCAGACACTGATACAGCTTCAGTCTTTAGGCCATTACGGTATGCTTCAAGAGGTATAACATTTTCAGATAAAAAGTCATCACTTGATGCAAGTTTCTGAGCTACAAATGGTCTGGGAATAATACGGCGACTGTTCAATGCTTTTAAAATTTTTGCATATTTTTCTTCATTTTGCATCATCTCATTTAGAACACATATTGGAGATTTATGAGCATCCCATTTAGTTTTTCCAAGTCTTTTCAGGTGTCCTCTCACATGATTTGATAACCCAATTTTAGTATCAAACCAACCACCACAGAGCTGACAAGTGTGCTCAGAAGCAGATTCAGACTTCTCTATAGCTAGAGGGGAAAAAAATGTGACGTGTCAAAGACTTTTTTAGATTGCTAGTCTATTTACCCTAAAATCAATTACTCTGGAAAACAGGATATTGCATGCTCCCATAAACAGAAACAGAAACAAAAGCAAAGCAAAACCTTTTTCACATCCACTTAGTGTGAGACCATGTACTACATACATATCAGCAATTCCTGCCCGCCCATCCCAAAGCTCACCTTTTCTAACTCGTTTCACAGGAGTTCCTGTGCCCGTCCTTTTGAAGTGCTGCATTTTATCACTTGTGGCTATTTGCTCCGGAGAAACAACATGCCTGGCTTCATAGCTTAAACCTGCTCTATGTAGATGCCCACGGACATGATTGGACAACCCAACACCAGTTTCAAATGTTGCTGGACAGTATGGACAAGATTTTTTCTCTAGAGACAAATCAGTCCAATGGAAAACGGAGTTATGCTTTGGCAATGATGTTTCTGCATTTTCTAAATGTTGAGGATCGTGTATCTCATGTAAGTAGTTGCTAGTTTCAGCATCTTCATAATATTCAAAAAAAAAGCCATCGTTTTGTTCAAAACTAAGGTTTTCTCCGGCTTCTTGACCCTCTACTTTATTTTTAAAGAGAGGGAATAAGTTTACATTTTCCCGATTAACATCACTGTAAGATTCATCTTCCATAGACTGTGTAGTATAGTCACACAGCTCAACATTATCCCATGAACTGTCATCCTCTGTTTCATAGCTATCTTTTTTTTCAGCAGAATTTAACTTTTGCAAAACAACAACAGTCATTTTATGCAAAAAATCTGGATAGCAGTCTAAATCCTCTCCTACAACAGAACTTTCCATCTTAGATTCATTAACTACTCTTTTTACAGCTACACGCCTATAGTCTTTGAAATCTTCTGGCCTTTTTGGATCAAGATTATGAGAATCCATAATAAAACAATTGTTGTGGGAACTATCTGATGATGAAAACACATGTAGAGAACTGGCCTCTTCCTTTTTTAAATGCAAAGGATATGGGTCACCTGACTTTTTAATCATTCTATAATTTTCATATTTGTGTCTATATAAATAGTTACTACTTGTTTTGACACTAGATTTTTGTTTCCCTGTCTGATGGAAATATTTAGGTTTTTGGTCAATGCTGTTTTTAATCATAACAGTCTTATGAGGAGAATTATTTTGATTGCACACATTTACACCTGCCTGGGAGACACTTTTCCGAGCTTTTTGTATTCTATGTGTCCTCTTATGGAGTTTTGAAAAACTGCTCGATTGAGATGCTGATGCAAATGTTCGTTTTACATCTTGTTTTAAAACAGAGTTCTTTGGAAATGTGGGTGTCTGTTCCTTAACTAATGACTTAGTTCTGCCAAAATCTAAAGGTTCTTCAAGAATATCCCCCTTTTTTTCTAATCGTAGTGGCCTCCCAAATGGATCGATGCATGATGATGGATGCAAATATTCCATATGTTTTTTTAAAATATTTCGAGCAGATGTAGTAAAAGCACACAACTTGCACATGTACGTGGCTGGTTTTTTGGATGACTCTGTCAAAGGGTCTTTCACAGAAGTCTTTTTTTGCGTTTTTCTCTGAGCGAGATCAGAATTAATAACTGAACATTTCACCACTGCTCCATGAGCAATTCCTCGGTGGCACTCCAATTCATTTTCAGTCACTGCCATAAAGTTACACTCCTCACAGCAGTAGTACCTTTTGTCTTTTTCGTGAGTTTTAGCATGTTGCACAAAAGTTTTGGGACAATTGGTGCCAAACACACACTGCGGACACTGTAACCGTGCACTCCTCCCTTCGTCCTGAAGTTCTTTTAATTCACGAATTTCCTCCATCAATTTCTGCCTTCTTTCCTGGTGAATAATCATGTGTTTCAGAAGTGAATTTCGATCACGAAATGTTCGCCCACACTCTCTACAAGCGTACGGCCGTGGAACATTGAGGTGACGGAAGTGACTATTCCCATCTAAATGGTACATCATATGCCTATGGAGGTGCTTTTTCTCCCTAAAATTCACATTGCACTTTGTACAGGGGTAGAAGGATGGCTCTTCAGTGCTGAAAGTAGCAGGTGACTCGGAATCACTCTCTTCACATTTCTTTTTTAAAGTATTTGAAAGAAAAGTGCTTGTATGAACAGGTGAACTCTCTTCTCCACATTTATCTGGGCTATAAATCAGTTGTTGAATAGCATCCACATCATCTAAGTCTTCATCTGCTGATTCAGGCTTAACTTTTGACAACGGGTATTTCTGTGGTTCTGTTATTTGTAGTTCTTCACTTTGCTCTAGAAATTCTACATTTAGTAGTTTTGATTTAGTGGTCATATAATTTGATTCACTAAAACAATCCTCAGTATAACGAGTTATCTTGCTTACATCCATTTTTCTTTTTCTCTTTTTCTCTAACCCTACTTTACAGTGAACTGGCGACTTTTCTATGGTTTCTTCATTTGTCATAAGAAACTGGATAAACTCTTTTTGTGGATCCCAGTTTGTATCATTTCCTGATCTGAAATCATCTGTACCTGAGGAAATACCTGTTAATGTTTTGACAGAATCATCTTTTGCTAATAAACTTTCACTGTCCTCACACTCCTCTATTTGATTTATTAAAGTGCTATCTGACTTCACACTACTCCCTACTGATTTTTGTTTATCACAACCAACTGAAGCAGAGGTAGGTTTCTTAATGGAATGGATGGGATTTTTAGTCTGTGCTACATCAGGTAACAAAAATAAAACTTGGTGTTGACTTGAATTTTGTGGTGTAGTTTTTGTGGACAGCTGGGGATCATGTGCCACTTTCAAAGTTGAACAGGAATCTGTTGTTTGCTGACTCATGGGTTGTCCAGTGGGTAATGAAATGCTGCCTTTACTCATAATGGAAGTCTTAGTTAAGGAGTGTGAAACTGGTCCATTAACAGCAGTTCCTTTAGGCAAGATAAACTTTTCACTAGAAACAGTAGGAGCACCAGCATGGATAAATGGAGTAGACTGGCCTCCGCTTAAGGCTTTTTCAGATCTGTCCCTGGATAGCTCTTCAGGCAGAGTCAATATATTGTTTTTCTGAAATGACAGTTGACACTCTTGTGGTTTAAGAATACCACTCTCTTTCTCAGAGATGAAATTGGTGTCATTTAGTTCTTCTTTAGCACCAGTAATCTCAGTATTTATCTTCAAATCATCCATATTGTTGTTGGCAAGCCCATTAAACACATTTACTCTAGAAAAAGAAAAGAAAGGAATCTATTAGATATGTATGCAAGAAATAATATCTTTAAAATGCACTGCACTAGATTTTAAGTGGGCAGGAAAAAAAGTTTTCTATCTATGAAAATCTTTACTATTTAAATATTTTGTCTGTTATTTTAAAATATTAAAAACCATTTAAAAGATGTTATGTTCTATAACATCCAAACACAAAAGACTGAATTTTTGTTATACAGGATATCCTAAGTGTTTTACATAGGTATGACTAAGAAAATCCCTAAATTACTGTACTACTCGGGAGAAAATAAAAAGACAGAGAGACAAAATGCAAGTGGCATGAAGAATACAATCTTCCCCCATTAATTTAGATATGCTTAAGACAGTCAACCAATATGAAGATTTTAAACAAAAGCATCTGGGGTACACTAGGGATTCTTTAACGATTACATAAGAGATGATTTTTACAGGCATGCCAATTGTTTAGATGTAAATAGTATTTTTAAGGTATCTCATTTAGAATTACTGCAATTTTTTCTCCTCATGAATTTGCTTGTTGTAAATTTCAGTTCAACTTTTATCCAAATTACCACAAATTCAGAATTACTTAAACCAAAATTAATGGGATTTTATAGATCTCTGTACCTTGATCCTAAAATTCCTGTGTACCCTTTCAATTTTTCAATTTAGGAAACCTAACCACTTCCTATAAAACTATAAAATATTTGTGGCTAATCAGCTTAATGAATGTTGGTTTCTTATTTACTAATAAATTGAGGTAATTTATTTTTCAGTATATTTCTTGGATTTACTAGTGGAGCTACACTGCCAAACTCAAAACAAATAAACAAAATGCAGAAAACAGATACTCAAGAATCACTTAATGACAGTATTTTTTACCTACATGATTAAAGTATGCCCTTCAATGACCAAAGTCCAATTTTTTTTACATTGATTCTTGTTGATTTGGCAACAGACACCTACAAATAAATAATCTCAGAATGCACAAATGAAACCTCTAAACCAGCCATTAGTTGATAATACCTGACCTAAAATATTTTTGTACTACTACAAAAGATTAATAGTGTGCTGAGTTGAGTGTACTTATTTGTGTGCAGGCATGAATTTAATAGTATACCAATATTTAGTGTTTGCCTTTGCAATCATTTTAGTGGATTCTGTTAGAAAGTACTTTGAAACTAAGTAGAGTTTAGATTTAAAAGCAAAGAAGTGAAAAATATACTAACGTATACATTACACAAAATTATCTGCATTAATGATAAAAACAAAGCATGTCTAGTTTTACCTGTAAAGTTAAGATTTGATCTAACCTCCTAATGTTTACAAATCTAAGATCATCGATTTAGAACTGAAAGCCATTTTAAACAGGCTATCTAAAACTGGGGTTCTTAAAACTGCTTTTTTGTCATGCCTCCTCTTACAGCAATCTGGTGACATGATTTGTTGCTTGACGTTCCCAAGTGGAGAAAATGCTAAATTCCAGTTCAAGATTATTGAAAATTAAAGTGTAAAACTTTTTTCCCCATCTAAATTCACAGGTCCCCTGAAATCTATCCACAAGCCACTTGAGGTGTGTGAACTCCAGGTTAAGAATCACTACTCTAGATGCAACCCCTCATTTTACAGATGTAGAAATTGACCACAGTCACAGTGGCAGAGCTGGGCTTTGAACCCATGTCTAGTGGTTCCAAATCTAGTTCTCCACCATGAAAATAGATTTCTAATTAAAAATTAGTCTACATTTGTATAAAGTGATTTTTTCAAGAAACACAGTACAAAGTGCATTATCTACTTTACCTCTAAGTTTTCTAGCATATATAATTTTATTTGTATAAGTTAGTTATTTCTATGTAAAAATAGCAAAGACCACAGACTACAAACTTATTCTTACATGAAAGCAAAACAAATGACATAAATAACAATTTTATGGCATATTTCATAATGGATCAAAACAAAACTGGGAAAATAAGTGGGAAATCTCTAGGGTTTTTTTGGCTGCAAATTTTATAATTAAGTATAAGCACTTAGTGATTCTATTCCTTCCTATGATCTACAATAAATGTACATTTATATAAAAAATGGACAATATAAGATACTAACACAACTTTATAAAAATATTTACTTCTTTAAACTCAACATGTTAGACCAATCATTTTTAAGTACCCCCATCTAAGTCCCAAAGTTCTCTGCTGTTATGAGATTGGCAAATTTCCATGGAAAGAAAAATAGACTTTCAATAAGATCATATTCAATGCTATCACCCCAAAATGGCGCTAATGCAGCACCCAGCAGGAGTTTCTACATCGCATACACAGAAGTTAAAAATGGGAAGCACAAACATGTGTTAGGAAGGAGTACTGCAAATGTCAGTAAAACAAAAACCAAATTCAATGGCTATATTACTATTACCCATTCAGTGATCACTCCTAAAATTAAGTCAAACAGTCCTCACAAGGGCAATAGTATCCTAAATCTTTAAAAGGCAGTATTAAGGATATTTTGTTTAAATAAATATGTATGAATATGTGCACACATGGTATGCCTATTTGGGTATAGAAGATTTATACTATCTATTCTAGTTTATTACTAATAATGGGGATAGACAAATATATGCTCAGTCAATTTGAGAGCCTGTATTAGCTTTTCTCAACAGGAAGCAACGTTGCTAACGAAGTGGTAAATTCAGTGTTAATGAGTGGCTTCACTGTTACCACCTCTGAGGTAAAACCTTCCATGTTCCATGTTCTACCCATCTGTTCTGGTGTTAGGAGTTCAGAGAAGGAACAGACGCTTCCCATTTAAAGCAACTTCAGTGGTACCCCCCGAACAGCAGGGTGGCAAACCATGAAAATATCACGGTGACTTGGAGACTGCAGTCCTCATTATCAGAATGGTTTCATGAAAGCCTGCCACAAGTTTACATCAAAAGATAGCAAATTGTTTTGCTCAAATATATATTAAAATAAATGTTCATAATCCATCTTTCAATCTGCAGAATACATACAGAATTCTTTCTCTAAAAGTTGAGGCTTATAACACCTACCTCTAGTTAGAATATCTGCTGAACTGTAAAATGACATAGCTCAAGAGTTTGTTCTTTCACCTGTTAGGTAATTATTATGCATAAGCAAAGATGGCTAATTCACTCCAAATTAATAATCTTCCCATATATCCAAGCTATTCCTTATAAAGTAAGATTGATCCAGGCACAAAATCTTTACAAATAGAAGGAAAAAATAACAAAATTGAATTGATTCATTAAACAGTTTTAGCAACAAAAAAAAAATTATTTTACAAAAAAATTTTAACTACTTTAGAATTAATTTTTATGTTGTTAGAATAAGTGATCCCACTGAAAATGAATGAAGGCCATAGCACATTCAAAACCTGATGCAATGATAAACAAAACAAAAATGTTTATCATTTACAAAGGATTATTCCTTATATGTCTATCACTAATGCTTATGCAATATGTAATACCTAGGAAATCATTCATTATGAAAGTTAATTCTAATAGTGGGAGTAAAAAAAGAAAACAAAACCCAATACATTATCTCCTGTACAATAATAAGTGTAACTTTATCAACATTTGTAGTTTTCTGGGCTGCCAACCAACAAAGAACATTTGAAATAAACTCTTAAAACCTGATTCAAAAAGCTGAATAAATTTCCAACTAGTTTATATATATGTACACACACACGCACACACATACACATATACATCTAAAACAAATATACAACTAGTTTAGATATGATGTCTCAAAGTTCAATTAAACTACTTTATCAATTGGAGTACTATAAATAAGGATGTGAATTATCAAATTATATCTGTACATTACCAGTTAAGTATCGTCCTTAAGGAGTCGTTTGATTAAAAGTTTTTTCCTAAGTAGAATTTTTTTTTAATTCATAGTGGGTAAAAAGTTGCAAATGGGATTTTTAATATACATATAAAAACATACTTCAGGTTCTAGAAAATCATAATGAGTTCTGCAGCTATAACTGCCTGTAGTCATACACTGTAAGCATTAAAAGAGAAGTACAAAGGTCAGATCTGTCTTCAAGATGACAGATCATCACTTATAAGCCTCAAGCTAGACTTATTGTCTCAGAAATCTCAAACATCAGTATTTTTGCAAACTATCAGCACTTGCTATAACACCCTTACTACACTACATCTTGAGGTTACTACAGAAGAAATGAGGTGATAATTGCATATTAACATAATTATTCTGTAATCCCTCTGAGCAAGCTTCCTAGGTCACTCAGTAATTCAGATTGGATACAACCTTCCTGTCATCAAATCTATGCTGTCCACTTGCTGTTCATTAATAAATCTTTTTGATAGAAAATTAGCTTAATTTCATTCTTTTATGTACATTATTAATTGTATTTATTACAAGCAGGTTAACATTTCTTGGGTACTTATCGCATAATGCCAACCTTGTCATATAACATAATTTCACAAAAAATTATAATATTGCCCTTATTCAGTACTAGTTCATTAAAAATTACATCGCACAACTAAATGTAGAGTTGCCCACTAGCACCATTACAGTTAAGATCTATCAGGCTCTATTGCGGCCCTTTCTTTTGCTTTAAAAGATCCTTGAGAGTAGATAAGTTTTTAAGTTATCAATACATGTGATTAAGCCAAGAAGCAAAAACCATTAACAGCTGTCAATCTACATACAAAACAAATATTAATTGGATGAAATACTGTATTTTGATTACTGAGGTTTGAAAGTCCATGAATACTATATAAATATGTTTAGCAAGGGATATATCATACAAGCAATTATGTGTGCACGTACCCAATGTATATTTACATACAAAGAAAACAGAGGTCTAAGATGTTTGTTTTTGTTTCCTCATACTATCTCTTTGAGCCCAATGGACCCTCACACTATGTTGTAGGTTTAAGAACATGTGAATAACACATTTTAACAGGGACACAAAATAAAAAGCACCACAGAAAGGTGACCAGAAAAAGATTTGAAAAACCACAAGTAAATATGGTCTAGAGAAAAAAAACTAGAGCGAGAGTAATCACGGCAACTGTTAAAGAACAATCACATCAGAAAAGGAAATTGACTTTTTCTATATAGCTTCAGAAAAAAAAATAGAAAAAAATGGGTAGAAGTTACAAAGAAACAAATCTTGGTATCATTTAAGAATATCTTCCTAATAAACAGAGCTTCTTAATGCAAAATAGAAGTCCTCATAATATAATGAGCAGCCTGCGATTCAAGCAGAGACTGAATGTCAGACATGGTGTAGGAGATTTCTTGGTCTGGGCAGGGGCAAGATGAACAAAATCCCTCTAAAGTTCCTCCCAACTCTTGAGCATTTATAATATTATGTACATGACAAAGATATTTATATGTGTAAGTGTAAAGTCTATAAAAATAATAGATACGAGTATTAAGTGAGATTATTCTCCTGAACTTACAGGAAAAGGCTACAAAGCATAAACTGCCTCACAATACCTCATTATGATAAAATAAGAACAAGTCAAAAAGCTTGAGCTTCTAGTCCAAGATCTGTTGCCATTTTTACTGGCTCAGTGACATTGGGGGCAAGTTATTTTAACCTGTCTGGGAGACATTTTCTTCATCTACAGAAGAGGGGTGATATCTTACAAACTAGAAAATACTCTGCAAACATGGTAAGCTAATAACTGCTTGTTTAAAGAACATATTTTGTGAAGGATCAATATAGTCTATTTGGATAAGACTGAGACTGAGGCCTATACCTAGATAAATAAGAAAATCCTTTAGCCTTAAATTATTATTAGAAATATAGAAACGGGGTCAGCTAGGTGGCGCAGTGGACAAAGCACTGGCCCTGAAGTCAGGAGGACCTGAGTTCAAATCCAACCTCAGACCAAACATTTGACACTTACTAGCTGTGTGACCCTGGGCAAGTCACTTAAACCCAATTGCCTAAAAAAAAAAGAAAAAAAAATGAAAAAGAAAAAGAAATATAGAAACTAAGTTTTTCCACTGAATTTGTCTACATAAGAAGCAAGTAATCCATTATATACTAAAAGATGAAAATAAATCTGATTGGCATACAGTAGGCATTTTATATAAAGAAATCCAACAGTGTATAGTATCTCCATGGCAAACTAATGATCTTTAAGGCCATGTTTAACATTAAATGGTTCTTTATCAGAACCAAGTTATTTTAACTCCTGCCATGCTGAGTTTGTTAATACAGAAAGGTTTTTTTCCTGCCTACCTCCCCATCATTCAGCAGAGGGACTGTGTGTTGGAAAAAAGTAATGCAACTGGTAAACCAGAGAATCTCACAACTGAAAACCAAGAGGTCATTAGGACCTGTTCTCTTCTGTGTCACTGAAAGTGAATTCTTAAAGTATCCACAAAAGTTATACATACAAAATTTCAAACTCTCCCATAGTGTGTTGTTCCAGTGTTCAATCTTCCCTCCTTTTTTGGGGGGGGCCAATCAATCTTCCCTCTAATAATTTTTTGCCAATCACATGAATTAATATTTTCCTTCATAATGAAACTAAGTAAATGAACATCACTGGAGTATGACCTTGCTATATGCTACAAATATAATATGTAATAATAGTATTTTTTTTCTAAACAAAGAATCCCAAGGAAAAGAGAAGAACTTGAGAAATACCAGCGTTATCTTGTTAATGAGAATTCTGTTTTCTCTCTTCTCACTGTTCAACAGATTAAATCAAAAGCCATCTTGTGATATCTTCCTGAGTGTTTAAAGTACTTCCCAATCTTCAAAATCTTCATTCTGGCTTAGTTCAAAAATTATGCCTTTTACCAGAATAATATCTGTCAATATCTTAACTGAACTAAAATTAACAAGCTCTACATATTTTAGTTGTTTAATTTTTTTGTTGTTCTTTTCTGGCTTATCTTTACCATCACCTGTGATCTCCTCCCTCACCCTCTCAAAAAAACTTGAATTTATTAGATACACCTGTATTGATACACACCTGTTCTGCAGGCATGTTTCTTGGCTTTGTTTTTAAGGCTTCCTACTATATTCCTACTGTACTGCTACAAAGGTAGCAAATGACAAATTGGTCACCTCCCCTTATATGACAAAAATTTGTGCTTCTATTTCTTTCTCGATTCAGCTCTTATGAGCTACAAAACAAAGGTAGTATTTGTAAGTTCAACGGCCACTGACTGAACTTTTTACCCAAAATGGACACTTGAAAATTTCTCTGCCCCCATGGAAGACAGGGCAAATGTACTCAGACCAAAGCAAATCTATCACTATTGCTGAACTCAAAGTCCTGTCTTACTGACAGGATATTAGTGATGTAATCTTCATACAAGATAGATAATACATCATTATTTCCCTTAAAAAACATTTTCTCCCAACCCTGTAACAAAAATTTCTAATTCAAGTTTCCCTGAAATGATTAAAGCTATAAGACTGAGGTCATCACTACCTTTACATCATGTAAGTTATCAACAAAGTAATAAGTGATATTCAAATGTTTCTCAATAAAGAAAATTATACATTTGGGGCATGTTATGAGACAAGCAATGAGATGAGAAAAAAATTAAACATATAAATAGGCAACAAGCAGATAAAATGAGCCCTAGTTGCTAAAGATATGATGGTCTACTTAGAAAATCTTCAAGGTATCACCCAAAAAAAAAAACCCAAAATAAAAGAGCAAAAGCAAAATGAAAACCAAAAACACACCCCAAATCCTTCCAACCTTCCACTTAACTGTGACAATTAACAGTTTCAGTAAAGTAGGCCATTACAAAATAAGCTCTCACACACCTGCATAAAATAGCATTACAATATACCATCAAAATCCAGTAGGGATTAATAGAAATAGAAGCCCCAATAACTTTTAAAATGCATAAAACATGTGGGAGTCATTCTACAAAAGCACATAATATTTTCATATACACACTTAAAAAATAAAAAATGTAAAATACTTGGAGGGATATATAGTACTCATACTGGGCCATGCCAATATAATAGAAATTACAGTAGTAACTCAATTCAATTATAAATTTAGTGTTATACCAAACCTCCAGTATTTATGTAGTGTCTAATGTGCCAGGCCAGGTGGATGGTTGTGGGTGT